AGCGTTTAAGTGAACTGGAATAATTTGTAAAATTATGAAACAGAATGCTGCGTGACAAACAGATACACATATAAGTCAAAAACTGCATGGTGATGAATTTCGCCAAGTAGTTTGTGACGAGGTGCTTAGTGAAGCACCCGAATTGAAGAAAGGAGTAAGAAAAGAACGTCTGCGCTCATCTACGATCTTCCTGAATGTAGTGAAATAGATCATGTAAGAGACTATGGGGAACGAGAAGGCGGGCACACATTGGACCATTTAAAAGACACTAAAAGATCTAAAAAGTTGGAGATTTACATGCAAAACTCAAACTTTTGACAGAAAAGGCAGCAAATCCTAACTAAGGCTCATTAGTCAGTCGAATTTAAAATTGCAGTTGAATCAGAAGGCAATTTACCTGTCATAAATGTCTAGCTTTCAAGGCAAACAGATGGAATCCTAAAAAGATGAATTTATCACAAGCCAACAAATTTCGTGGTTTTATTTCAATAAGCAGAAAAATAAATTCCATCATCTCAGTTGAGAGGTGCATCTATCACAGATGCACTGAAGATACATTGGGTAAGTAGATGGAATCTTTCAGAAACATTGTATTTAGGAGTGAATACCCAACCTCCTTCATCGGCAAGGATTTAAAGAGAAAGCGAAATTCTCCACAGAACCTGGATGCACCAAAGAAATAAGTAATTGGAAGTCTGAAATCCAAGGAAGATACAGTTACTGAGGTTCTTCAAAAGCGTATACCGGGGGCAATTCGAGAAATATGCTTACTCCACCTTCCCGCAATGAATATGATCACATTATGCTCTTTTTCAAAGACAAAACCCGTCTCTTTGTCACTTCAGTGTGTATTTACCATTTCAGTTACTCTTGTTGAGTTAACGAGACATGCAGTATTGGTAGGAAATTGTCTAGGAGCTCCCACGAATACCTACAGGGATGGATGTCGAAAAGAGAACGCATATCACTCGCAAATACAATTCTAGAGCACATTGTCACTTCATCTCACGTAGCATCAAGAGAGACCATAGTCAGATACATATATAGAGGAAGATCATTTTGATGTGGTTGTGATCTCTTAGCTGGATTGTTAATTTGCGAAACTTTCATCAAAGAAACAATCAGTTCCAATACAAGTAACCTAGAAGGTGTGAAAACATACATAAACAACCAATCACGTCCAAGGCCTCCAGGAGAGATGATTAATAAACTCATGGAGAAATCTGAAAGCTCACTTCAAATTGAAGTATGCGCTGAAGATGTCACCCAGTAGGGTGATGAAAGCTTCGCAAATCAGCCATCCAGCTCAGAGAAAACAACCACATTAAAATCATCCATCTGAGCTACAAATCTTCTTTATCATATCTAAATAGAGGAAGATCAAGCTATTCTAAGGATGTCGCCTACATCTTCTTTATGTAGTCGAACCTCTTACAATTCACAAAACTGCAAATTTGTGTTGAGAGATGTTTTATCCAGCCTCTATTTTGTATCATAGCCTCAGTATCAGTTTATTTTCTTCCGCAGCAAGCTCTGTGTGATATTTTATTCATTTTTTCGCAACCCATTTTTAATTCTTCAGTTATTTCCGAATAATTGTTCATCACTTGACAAGTTATTTGCCAGATCTCTTAATTACCAAGTATAGGTTTGTAGGGACTTGATTGATTGGTTACAGAATTTCATTATGAGCTGACATCGGCTAGAGAAGCATTGGAAGTCTGGCAGTACTGCCAGACAGCCGTTTCGTCCTAGTTTGAGACTCTTCATTAGTACGTAACCAACGAAACTGTTCGAACCCATAACATTCTTGTTACAATTGACCAGTAGGTTGCAGCAAGTCGGGTGTGAGGACAAATAATTGACGAAGACATTGGCTAGTGGTCTCGCTACGTCGTGAATTGGCAGAAGTGGGAATTCATGGCCGCTGGAACTGGTCCCAGCGGCTTAATGGTCTACGGGCTCGCCTAGTAACCAAAAGGTCCTGAGTTCGAATCTCGGCGGGTACGTATTGCTGAAGAGTCCCAAATTGGGACGAAACAGCAGTCCGGTACTCCCAGACATGATAAAATCCTGTAACCAGTCTCTTGATTACGTTGGATTATTCATCCGTTATTTCTCGTACACTTTGACTTATTTTGTTATTAACTAAAAATAACCTCTTGTCTTCTTTGTCAATTAACATAGTATCTGTGTAACTATACAGCTTTGCAGTTAATTTGCCAACTTACTTGAAATAGTGCCAATGAAAAAACTCTTAAAAATGTGTAAGTTTTGGTTCTCCATGATTTATCAGTGCACAAACATAACATTTTGTCAGATGCAGCTAAGAATCCAAATAGAACTCTGAAGTGTGACTTGGATCTTATCAATGAAAGTCTACAACTATTTATTCTTCACATAATGCAACATGGTCTCCTGTATTCATCTGTAAGAATTAATGAGCTGTTAGAATATTTTGAGTCGAACTATATTTAGAATAAGACATTAACACAGCCAAGAAGACTAATTCTGTTAAGCAACTGACATATCAGATTTTGAAATATTTCTAAGTTAATGATACCTTTTTTTCAGTCCATTAAATAAACAGAGGAAAATAGTTGGCTTCATATTTGATTTATTTCTTATTATGAAGACTTCCTTCATACATTTATTTCCCTTGATGAGTTTGAATAGAGGAAGGACAACAGTGGTTTGTGCAGAATAATATGGTGCCATCATTTGTTTCGTTGACTTCTCATCAGCTGCTTACGGCTTGCAAATTTTATATTATGTCAGTTGACGGGAGGTTCCGGAATCGGTGAACAGTACTCGGTAAATTACGCCCATAAATATTTTTACACAGGCAGTTCAAGTTTAAACAAAATAAATGTATGCATATAATGGTGAAGGAGTTACGTAATAAAGATGAGAGATGCGTAAGATGCCGAGTGATTAATAAATTAGGTAACGGTGTATTGAATTCAACTCAAATCATAGAAACAAGAGAGAAGCAAAATTACACTATATCAGAGGGGTCCTATTATTAAAGTAAAGATTACATAATCAGGTGAAAGAGCGAATAAAGACACCCAGTCACCAGGGCAAGCAAAGACTGATAGCTGCTTCTTTCTGAACACATAAATCTGCTTTCAAGAGTTTGACAGAAATTGTTTCGGCAAACTTGAGGAGAACCGAGCTCTTTTGTTTATTGATAATTTTAAAGGATTTCACAATTACCACCTCATGACCCATATCAAGGAGATGCCTGGTATTAGTACTATTATTATTCGTTTGAGACGCAGGCTTTCCAATACATGTTCAGAAAATCGGAGGTGTCCCCTTCTTTCTGTTCTCCCAACGTAACTGTAACTATGTAAAGTTTATGGCTAGCATGTTCATCAACACTTGCCAAAAGGCACAGTCTCTAAATCACTTAAGGTCAAAGTTTTACAAATTATAGCCGGATGTTTCCTCTAAACCCTTTTTTATAAATGATAAAGATCTTGGCAATTTAGAGGTAAGATAGAAAACAGGAAGTATGAGTGCATTGTAAATACTATAATCTCAATCTCATCTACCTTGTTTCATGTTCTCTTCAACTGATATTCTGACTGAAAGTTAGAGTTCTTTGGGCTCAATATCTTCCGCAACATTAAGAGACCTACTTTCGAAGTGTTAATTATTTGACGCAGACTTAGTTGGGGTAATCTGATAACCAGATTTTTGAATTGTCTAATCATTACACATTTAACTGCTTGTATTAAAAATTTGAATTAAATTATTCATAATGTTTCACGAAAAACTTTAATCGTTCTGTTCGTCATTATACTGTGAATTTCTTTTTTTTTATTCCTTTACGTTCTGAGTGAAACATAGGGTCTCAAGCTAGAGCTCTGAAGTTTCTGTAGCAATTCTATTATACGAGGTGGGGCTACTAGCCACACGCCCAACCTTCCCTCTTTACCGGACCTACTACTATCAACTAGGCGAGATAAAGGAGTGCATCAGCCAAGGATCGAGCATTCTACCGCTAAACCACCGACGCACCCGAATTTCTTACCTTTGTTTATAACATCATTTAGTGGCGTCCTAAACACTCTACTGAATTCCACTTATGAATGCCTACTGTTTTTCTGAAATATAATCAGATTTATTGGGGCAGTATAAATTTGAACTTATCTGATTTCGGAATAACTTTGATTGCGCCGCTAATGGAACATTTTGCACACTTCATTTACGGCATTATTATGAGTTTTCATTCTTTTGTCTAATTCCATTGCAAATACAAACTACATTTTCAATTCTTTTGAAGTTATCTAATCATCTATTGCTGTCTTATGAATGGGATATTTATATTTTGATCAATCCTATTAAGATGGAGGTAGCTTTTCTTGTAGATGTTAAGTGAGTTTTCTGATAGAGACAGCATAGCTTACTTAACCAATATCTGTAACATCTCAATGCTTATGTAATTAGTTTTAAATAATTTTCTTCATTTCCTAAAATCTTGATACATATGAAAAACAGACAACCTGGCTTTAATTAATTTCCATTAGTAGTTGTTGTTAAAGTCTTGTATTGGTTCATTTATTATTTGTTGGATATTCACATCCACTGTGTATATTTTATTCTTTGACTAAAATGCTTCCCCGTTATTATTTATTGAGGACGGGTTAAGGAAATTCTGAAAGTCTAGTATAAAATACTTGCCGATTACATTGGCTAGTGGTCACATCACTTCCTGAATTTGCAGAAGTTGGAATTCATGAACCAATGGATGGAGTCCCAGTCGATTATTAGTCTAGGAGGTCTTGGGTTCGAACCCCGGTGGGTGTCTACCAATGAAGAGTTTGCGACTAGGACGAAACTTGAGTTGTAAACAAAAGGTACCAGCTGGAATGTTTTCTGCACCGGGAGTTAATGCCATTAATATATGTTTTGTGATATATTTTCGTTTCTTCTGCAGTCTAACCGAATTGTTTCATTGGTATTCCTGTCTTGTTGTGTTGCTTTTGCAGAAAAGTGTATCGTCGGAATAAATGCACATAGCTGTCAAATCTTTCCTGTTTCATCAGTTGATATTTAAAAGAAAAGACTCAGTAAAAATTTAAAACAAATAAAAATGAGAATTAGAGAAAGACTACCAGCTGATACATTTAAACCGAATTACAATTCAAAAACAATCAGCTTCACTAATTCTCAGTGGTTACAACAATTGCTGTCAATAGCGGTACGTTTAAACAACGCCACAACTAGTCATGAATATTCATCATTATCCACACCAAATGCCACTACCACGAATAGTATAGATAATAGTAATAATAATACCAAACTTAATTTGAATGCATCAAGCGCAGCAACAACAACGTCAAGTACTGGAACAACTGGTTGTATTATCTTACAGTTATATGATAAGAATCCTGATTTTCTTTACAATCAAGAAGAATATCAGGATATTGACTATTCTGTATTAAAAATGCAGATTATTATATGGACACAGAAATATCTCAAACCGGATGATTTATTCATGGATTGGTTTGAAACAGTCAATCGACATATCCACCATAGCAGTAATACGTATCATCAAAACAATTATGACAATAATAACAATAACAATATAAATAATGAACACAATGAATTATCTGTTACAAATATTACATTCTGTACAGAGAATTTAAGAAGTCTAATGATTGAAGGTGATAAGCAAATGTTAGATAAATATAATGGATATACTTTAAATGGGGATATATATGGAATCAAAAATGAGACAAAAATAGGTAAGCTGTGGAAAGGTTATCTTGAATTTGTTTGTTTTTTCTGATTATACTCGTACTAATTAATTTCTAGATGCCATTACTAAATTTCAGTATTAGTAAGTGAAATACTTAAGGAAGTAGTCCCATTTTTGTTGCATAAAACCACTAATACACACGGATTACCACTAATTCGTCCTTCAAATGTCTTGTTAGCATTCATAGTTAGCGAACTTGATTAGTTTTTGCCTCAAAAAAGTGGAGCCAGTACTGTGCAGAATCTCTGTTTGATGCGTTTATAATGAATCATTCACTCAGTATGACAAATCAGTCTGCACTTTGATATGTATCACATTATTTCTTGAACTAGTTCATCTGAATATTGGCTATTCATGGTAAAAACCATTGTACTTAAATGGATTCATTTCAGAAATCTGAAGTTAACTGAAAGTGCATAAGAGTAACCAGTTTATACCAAAAAATCTTAGCAGTACTTAGCGATACACTTGCTTACTAGAGTGAATTTAACACATTCATCCTAGCCTTTGGAAGACCAAAACTGTGTGCAGTATCCTCCGGTGGCACAACCACTCATGTGTCCTCCATCCCACCCAAGCGGCGTGGAAACGCGAATGACTTAAATAATTCATTCAAAGTATTCTTAGTCGAACAGAGTGGATTTAAGAACACCATATCCAGAGAAGAGACTTTTTTCAATGAATTGATGATCAAGCCATCGATTCGCATATATACGGTTTTTTTAAGAGATTGTATCACATCGGGAAATCTATACAAAGATATGAATACTTAAAAATAATAATAGTAGTATAAGATGCAGTTAAAATGTTCGTGATTATAATCATAGTTCAGTATCAAGTGTCAAGCGGAAAAATAAATAACGTTGTATATATAATAGTTCACAGGATGTGTAGATGGTGATTTAAAATTATAGGATAGGTAGGCAAATAAGAGTCGTTACATAACACGGTGTGAAATTCGGTAAGGTAGAATTCTACACTGTAACAAAAATCTTGATTTAGAATGACAAGTTGGACAAGTGAAATAATACGGGAATCAGTTCAGAGTGGGAATAGTACTTGCAACAATAATAACAATCGTAGGATTGAAGGAAAGCTACGTAGATTAACTAAATAAGCAGATTAAGGATAAATATGTGTTTATCTTTCTACGGACAAGACAGAAATATGGATTGCATATACTTCTTTTAAACACAAATGTCTGGCTTGAATTCATGAAAGACGAAGGCGTTCAGAAGTCTAGAATGAAAAAAATGCGGCTAGTTAGCATGAATTCGAAATATGATCTTAAAATCATGGCCAGCGTCGGTAGACTGACATATGTCGATCAAGTGTTCTAGAACAGAGTTTCTCACAACCCCTTTTCCCCCTCGTAAAACCATGCTGGAATAGGTTAGCGTATCCATGCGAAAAGCGTTCACTGGATACGGCCAATGTATCTTGCTCTGCAAGAAAAAAGTTACCAAAGTATATTGATACTGGTAATCTCGAACTTGATTTGAGATAAAAAGTGAAAAGTTTGACGTCTCACTTCTCTTTCTCCTTAATTTGAATCTCTTTAGACGATGATATTGGCAACTCTAAAAATAACTGAATCAATAAACCATAAGTACCATCCAGTGTCACTGACGGCTGATTGTGTACATTTTATGGAAGATAAAGAAAAACTGTGTGAATCAACCAATATGATTAAACTTCGTTGTTCACTTTCTTCTTTCTAACATTCAATTTTAGATTTTTTCAAGCAGAATTTGTCGTTTCTGTTTATCTTCATTCATCTGCAAAGTTTCCCACAGTTTATTTTACAATTGAAGATTTATTGAAGTTCTTAACAAGATATTTATTTGTCATAGATATGAAGGCGACCATTGTTTAACTATTCCAATAGACTGAAAGCTTTATTTTTCTCTGTCAAAAGGTTTTACTAAACACATGAATACCACATATGCAATAATGAGTATTCGACATGGGAAGTTTGGTTATTAAATGCCTAGAACAGATCAAATAACAACGGATAAATAACACTATGAAATAATGAAGATTTATAGCTCAGAATGAGGAACAACACTATGCTTGTCAAGTATTATGTGTTCCAATCTTATTTGTTTCTTAAATCTAGTCTTATCAGTTAGATCGTTTTCTACGACTTTGCTGTAATATGCATAACATGTTATTGTACAATACAAAAAATTTACCAATCCAGTGGTAACAAGTTGGTTAACAATAATGATAATAGGGTGATAATTAGCCAAGAAAAGGTAAATATAAGTGCGAAAATCAAACAGTTGGATTACATAATTCATAGTTTTAGGAAAAATAAGGAGTAATTGAGAATCAAAATTAGCGTCCAAATTGACTGCGTAATAAGCAATTAAAGCTAAAGTAGTGGTAATAATAAAATAATTAGGACAATTATAACTTGAAAAAAAAGGCTTAGAGGGAGAAGGAAATTGTCAGTTTTTTTTAACATTAATGTAATAATAACCAAGTTAAGGAAAGAAGTTGTATGAATTTCTTCTAAACACAAAAGTCTGCATTCTTCAGGTGGATTCCGATAACTTCAGTTGTATGTGGAAGACGAACTCGTAAAGCAAACGTATTATTTGACGGGAAACGAAAAATGACTTCAAATTCTGTATTAACATGAACTATATACCCATTTTCTCAATAAGGTGCGCCAAAATGGAGCCACCAATAAATTCTGTTTGTCTCTGTCTTTACAGCGCAGGATAATAATGTATGTATAACACTTGGACACTGTGGGAGTAAGTAATTCCATATTAGTTTGTTTATAAGATGTATCACACAGTGAAACAGTATTATTTACTGGATGAGGTTTCGAACAAAATTTATTGTTCCTTATCATATGAATTGTAATCACAAGACTTTGAAACTTGAGTTTTGCAGTTTTCTGTGTTCTCCCCAATTTATCGTAGAGGTAGTAGAATTTTCCAGATATCTGGATTTGCAGTTGATTCGATAAACAAAGCTTCCGTTATCAGTCTCCTCCGCCCTACCCTGTTACATTAGATTTTAAAACTGTTATTTATCCCATGTTATTTATTGTATGGTTGTATGTAATTGCATGTAGTGAGTACTATAGCTGAACTATTGCCTCGATTTCTTATCTTATTTGTATCTATAAGTAGATTTTGTTAGGTTTATTTTGCTCGGCTAGTCTGACTGCCTCTGTTCTACTACTTTGACCTATGTATTTGACCTGAAAATCATTGCAGGCAGGGTATTAGATAAACTAAATTGTTTTGTTTTAAAGGCTCCACTAGCGGGATCCTTTAACCGACAAAGCTTGTTTCTAATTGAGTTTGTGGGTGGCTTGAATGCCAGCCACTTTTATTCCTGCCTTGTTAAGAATTCTGCGTAAGGTTTCCGAGGTTCCTTTCTTGTATGGAATCACTAGTGATGATTTAGATTCCTTATTGTTGGTGTTGTCTTGAGCACATTTGACTTGCATGTCGTCATTAATATTATTATTACTGTCACTATCACTACTATCATTATTTATTTTATTTTTACACTTCCCTACATACTTTCTGACTAATTTATCAGGGTAAGTATTAAGTTTCAAAGCTTCTCTTATATGCCTCACTTCCTGTCTTAGATTTTCTTTGGTACTACTTAGTTTTTGTGCTCTATTATTACTTAGACATTTCACCAATCCTATTTTCACTGACATAGGATGGAATGATGGGAAGTTCAAATATCTGTTTGAATGTGGCCTCACCTTTCAGTTGATGTGTTCGAAAAATCTACTTATAGATACAAATAAGATAAGAAATCGAGGAAATAGTTCAGCTATAGTACTCACTACATGCAATTACATACAACCATACAATAAATAGCATGGGATAAATAACAGTTTTAAAATCTAATGTAACAGGGTAGGGCGGAGGAGATTGATAACGGAAGCTTTGTTTATCGAATCAACTGCAAACACGTGTAATAGTAATAACTCAATACCAATCCCAGCCATCTGGAAAATTCTATGGTGACATTGTCACATTTACGACAATTTCAAATGCGCTAATTACGAGAAATTTGTAACGAATTTAACAGAAAACGAATAATTCTGTGGTAGATTATGTCTTATATCTGGGTGTCACCACCGCACCTAAATGGGGCAGTTTATCTGACATTTAAGACTGATATGCTGAAAACTGTTTTTAGTGAGAACAGTAATAATATTTGTTTGCTGTAAAACCTAAACCCAGTACCACTTTTATTTAATGTTTTTAATTTCGATTAATTGCCCTGAAGAAGTTCGGTCCAGGTTGCCGAACGAAAGCTGGAATTATTAATTTCAATTTTGCTGAGCGTTTACAAGCATAATTTTTGCATATGTCTACTTCTCACTAGGCGCCCAATTATTTTGGAACTATTCGGTCAAATCTTGATCACAGTTCACATGAATTTATTTAATGTTTTGTTTCCTAGAAAACTATGGTGTTAGTGAAGTGCAAATTCTGATTGTGATTACACTTTCCTGTGTACTGATTATTTGCTTCTTCATGGCCGTTATTTTACGTATTCGGTAAGTAGTAAAGTAAAAATATGTAATTAAAAATAAATGGTATATATATATATTTATTTATTTTGACTAAGATTTAATCATTTCAAATTATCAGCCGCATGGTGCTCATGACAAAGTTGTTAATGATACGTTTAAACACTCGGTTTTTACCAATAATTCGGAGATTTGAAACCCATTCAACTTACTTCAGCCTAAGTATCTGAAAAATAAAAGTCACTCCATATCAAATGTGCCTTATAGTCTAGTGACTGAAACTTTCTAATCAGGGAACAATTTGAATGGCTATTGTTAGCATCAATGTTTTGAAATTAACTAATCGAGTTTATTGGCAAACAAGGATGCGTGTTCAACCGATTATCTCAGTATTCTCGTTTTTTTCAATTTCTTGTAATGATATTTAGTGGTGTCCCTATCTAAATCAGCTTTGCTTGTATCCCTCCTAATCCCGATGTTCTTCACGAGAGAGAATTTTGTATATCAATATCTCAAACTGGAATGCTTTTTCTAGTTATCTTATCCCCAATTTATAAAAAACCTTATAGCGGATCAGAAAATGTAATCAAGGCCAAAGTTGTGCTTCTTTTAAATGAACTAAGAATTAAAGTATGATCATATCGCTAATTGGAGAAGTAAGAATTCATGGTTCATTGAATTATGTACCAGTGGCTAAATGGTAACTTAGTAGTCACGTTACTTGATGGTCCTTCATTTGATACCAGGTGGAGTGACAGTTTTTCACTGGGCATGAGTCTTAAAATAGGGTGAAACTGTTTTCAGCGGTTCTGCAACTAATCTTCTACCATGGTAAAGTGTAACCACAAAATCTGTCAAACACCAACAAAGCGACTTTTTGTAAACTATAACTATTTGACAAAATAATGTTAGTGAAAATACCATTCTCAGTCCGGCTATCAACCGCGGACTGGATTTAACACTCTTAGTTGAACTACACATCATATGAGATATCAAACAGTCATTCTGTCTGCTCCCATCTGAAGAAAACTAAGTGTCCCACTATTACACTTGTATACTTTCCGGACTAATATCTCTTGAATCATTGAACGATCAATAAATATGGTTTAAGAAGGCATATTTCGAGATGGCATTATTTCATAATTTCTCTACTTTCGCTTTACAAGTAGCATGGTTAAAAATAATAGGATAAAGAGATTGACAACTAGTCACTTATATAAAATAAAAGTACTTACTAGTAACCAATCATATTTTACTAGATTAAGTGGTCCATGGTAGGCAAATGTTAAAGTCCAACGCTTTCTTTGCATAATTTGGAATGCATCTGATTAATCCAAAGTGCTTTCATCACTTTTAATAAACTTCATTTGGAGTTGTGTGAAATTGCTGTGAAGTAATCATAAATAAGGGATGACGGATTTCTACTTGGATTAAGTATATTTAGATTTTCCATGTGAATTAATAACTATTTTGAAATGTGTTCGTTCCTGCTACATTGGAACATGCTGTTAATTTTGCCAATATGTGTCGTCACAACTGCAGATGAATTTGTAGATACACTGTGAAATAGTGTCCACAGAATTTTATACTTTACAGGAAGTGAGAGTGTTTGAGATTTTAAAAAAATGGAGTTGGCCTAGAGTGTGCGCTTTAATGGCTGACTAAACCCTTTGGACTGTTAATCGCATGACTTGATCATCCTTGAGTGGTGATTTAATAACGATAGCTTTCTGTGTTACGGAAGATGTATTTTCAAGCAGCAATCTCTCTTCACTATGACGTCCTATGAAATTTTCAAGATATCGATTAGTCAACAAAACTGAATGCATGCACTGCAGCTCATCCAATTGTTAATCGTTTATTGCGCTTTTTCCTACATGTTCGAAAAAATTGTTTGCCTCAAAAATGTAATGACAGTACATTTCTCTGTATATCGTGGCTATATTGTTATCCGCCTCATTTTACTTATTTCTGTAGAAGTTTTTGTAGACGTCAGTCAGAATCAAGAAAACAAACACGTAATGATCGTGATTCTGCATTACAAGTGAATTTTGCTTATGATGTGAATGAAACACAGATAGCTGAGAAATCACCGATACCAAGTACAACATTTGGCAGTAATGCATACCCACGACCAATGAATAGAAAGGCTGGTGTATGCAGATATAACCGTATACCGCCGGTATATAATAATTCAAATCAAAGGTTTTGTAAAAAATTAAACAATCATATGTATAAAACACCAACTGTATTCATGATTGAAGATCAAGCTGGTGACAGGCATAACAAGCTTTATGAAGATTATTCAACGTTGAATCATGTAAGTTAAATACTCTACAGGATTTTTAAAATAATTCTTGGTATTTGGCATCTTGTAGGGTACGTTGCCATTCAGAGTTAGATATTTTACTGAAAGAATTCTGCTATAATTTGTACAGTTCAAACATAAGCCTAAGCCAAACTCATTGCAACAGTCATAGTGAATCAACAGGAGCACATTTATGGACATTCGTGGACACATCAGAACAAAGACTATGTGTTCAACTAAAAGGTAAAATGAGAGAGGCATTATCTCGTGTAGAAAGTAAACACGTTTTTTCACATTCAACACCATCTTAGATTTCGTGCAGTCAATAAAATGAAGGCGAGGAAAGGCTGATCTTATCTAGCTAATTACTGAAAATGAAATAATATTGAAAACGTTTTCTGTCTTAGTTCATTAATCATTGAAGGTAATTAATAGTTTATCTCTTAATCCTGCATGGATTTCGAGTCTTTTCGTTTCCTAGCAACTACAAAACAAAAGCATAATACCAGCCTATTGCTTTTGTAGTTCTTTAGTAGGCACCGGTCTACCGTTAAATCGTCTTATCAGAATAATGTGGTAATAAACAGTCATTTAGATCTGTTCAGAAACGCAACGATATATCACACTGAATAATTCGAATGGAACGGAGAACACTATTAGAATTCTATTTATATATGCTTTGCCTTGTGTCAGACCAATAGCAACTAAGTGAATGCTTCACAACAACAGAACATGGAGCATCCAGCTTACCGTGCACACACAAGGTTGAAGAGCCCAGAAAACAGTGCAAAACAGGCTATTCGGTGCATTTCGGTTCTGCCACTTCCTACAACTGACACTGTTCTGTTATAAAGTGAATCTTAGAATCAGTCAGTTTCTCACAAACTGCATAAACTAAAGTATTAATTCTAAACATGAAAATTTACTACATCATAATATAACAAAGTGTCTGCCTGTTTTCGACATAGAACTTTGCACATATGTGCACATATGTAGCACAGAAAGCAAGAGAAGAAAGTAGAAGAAATGCATAATAGAGGCATTAAACAGAGGAGTGAGACAAAGGAATAGTAATAACGAAGAACAATATAGTTTCACTGGAAATCATAAGTCACAAGGAGTGGATGCATCTGCGCCAGCCATTGAGAACGATTTTGAGACATATCACCAATTGTTTCCAGCCATTGGCTTTTAACATCCTGAGGACCCCAACCAGGAAGTCTACACCTTTCTACGTGGCTTAAACTAACTTTTGTGGATTTCATTGACTGATGAAGCCATGTTTTGGTTTGACCACCACCAGCACCACTAGCTCTTTTCCAGCCAGACCCTATATCAGCTAACATTACCCATCGAGGAAGGCGATGACTAGGCATGTAATTTCACAGCCTAGTTGATTGATCTCCCCTCCTTACCTAGCATTCAACCGATGCCTAACCTCAATATTGCTCACCTTATTATACCACTTCACAAAGGAGATAGAACGCAGGCCTCCATGATCAAAGGCAGCTAATCTTTTTATGTTTTCCACTCTCAATGGCCGGGTCTCACAGCCATAAAGGAGGTCGGAGCGGACTGCTGAGCAGTACACCCGCCCTTTGATCGACAGCCGGATATCATGACTACGCCAGAGATGGCGTAAATTGGCATATGCAAAACCAGCCCTCTGTATCCGTACTGAGATTTCGTCAGAGATCAACCCGTTGGCACTGGCTGATGGTACTTCCCTAACAAGTGAAGCGGTCAACATGTTCTACCACTTCACTCCCTATTTCTTATCTAGGAGTCAGTGTTGTCCAGTCTTGTCCTGTAACATCATCTTACATTTGACGGGAGCAAATCGCATGCCTAGATTGCAGCTCATGGTGTTCAGAAGACTCTGCATTTTGTCAGCGTCCTCACCTATCAGGGAGGACTATATTATCTGCATATTCTAAGTCAACGAGATTATTCCCTGGTAGCAAGTCCATACCTGAGTCTCTGAAGTAAATTAGGATTAAGTCCATTAGTACATCTATGATGAAATTGAATAGAAATGGGGATAATGGGCATCCCTGACGGACTTCACTAGTCTTCACCACCTCAGATGACAACTCGCCGTAAACTCTCACCTGGCTGCGTGATAATATATAACATATATAATATAACAAAGTATAAATGCGTTCCTGTTCCACTCGTAGCCCAAAGGAACAGTAATAATAATACACAATAATTACCAATACGGTGAGAGTGAGGGTTCATAATTTAACAAAGTGAAGGTTTCGATAGAGAAAGAAAGACTACATTTGCAGTACAAAATGATATCATTCTATTTCACAGGTCCTCATCAGCTGCAAACTTCCTGAAATTACAGTGGTTATATAGAATAACATTTCATACTTTGTTGTTTGAAAGGTAATAGAGAAAACATTATAAGGTGAACGCATCTGGAACATAAGTATTATAATTTATAGTTTAAGTTACCATGAATTTATATACTCTCAAACTATGAAAAAAGAAAAAAAGGGTGTGAGAGAAGAGAGAAAACAGAAAAATCTAATAAATCTAATAATAAGGGTTGTTATTTCAACTGAAGCATGAATACTCAACTGTCTTGATTTTCATCTAAAGACAATCTCCAACTTATCGAGTTTTAAACGCTTACTTCTACTTTCTTCTTTATTATCATGTAATTTCTCACATTCTTTAGCAAAATACTTCCAAGTAACTTCATCAATTATGTCATATCCCTGTTATACTCAATAGCGTATTGCTAAAATACTATTTGTTATGAAAATCAGTTAAATTTTAACAGCGATGAATGCATCATAGTCAGTTATTTTGAGTAGCTCACCATAATTGCTCTATTCCGCTTATTTTTTGTTTGTTTGTATATCGTATAGCTGAAAGAGATTAAACGTCGACATCTGCTGTATTCACGACGACCTGAGAATGTAATCTATCAACTCCCACCAATAGTATCAACGTGTAAAAACTCAAATAAATTACTGAAAACTAATAATAACAATAACAACAACAACAATCATTGTGAAAAAAGTAAAAATATCCATTCAAACAAGTCAATTCATAGAACAAATAGTTTTTAAATATGAATGTTTCTTACTATATTGTTTGTGGAATGGACTAATTTTTGTAAACTTTGTGTGTACTAAATAATTGTTTTTCCAGCACAGCATCACATTTAAAAGAACCAGGGAACTTATCAGTCTTTTAGTGGATTAGTTATCCTTCATATCATATGCATTTAGTACATATATTCCTATAATATACACATGTATCTAGAGCCCTATTAGTTTGGTTAATCTGCAAAAATAATTTTTCAAATGTATCATTTTCCAACATATATATATTATAACCGAATTTTAAAAATTCATTTACTACATATGCTGAATGAAAACCATTTTCTCTGTATTTATTTAACAGAACTTATAATAAATAGAGTTTATTTAAAAGACTGTGTACATCACTACTGATATTTATCCACACTGCGTATTTTCGTTTTACCTGTATTCAAACTCACGCCGGCTGACAGCACTGATAAAACTGAATCAGGCTGACCTACTGAGCAAGGTGACCATTTCGTGTTGCTATCTTTTAGAACATCATGTGTGTAACAACAGAAGACAACGGCCAGGCAACAGATCGTTTTATTACGGAAATCAACACGTATTTATATAAATTTTACATACATTATTATAGCCTAATCAAGTAGACAAACGCAGTCTTCTGATTGGTTGTTTTCAAGTTCCTCGGAAAGTGGAGCCATCTATCTGCGAATCATATTTGCCCACGTTTAAGTTTGGTGTGACTGGTTTTTGAAACAGCCTTGTTCATATTTTCTCACGGCCCATATTAGTGACCTAGACATTGACGTAGAATAATGTCAACCAATTGGCTAGCAGGCTGCTCTCACCACATGTGCTTTTACGGATTCAAGAGAAGTTACGATTGGAATATTCTTTTAAGACCTATGTAACATGAAGGTGTTTGCTGATTTCAGTTTCTCTGTGGATATACCACTGATTTCAGCCACTGTTTAAAGTTATTTATTCAAATGGCGAGTCATGGTACCACAGAAACGAAGTAGGATCCATAATGAGGTTGGAAAACATATAGGCATGTAATCAATAAAATAATTTCTGAGCATAAACGAAAGGACTATCAGTGTGCTTCTATTGAGACATTTTGTGTGAATAACGAAAAAGTCGTTTTCCAGAAGATATGCAATAAATGATATCTTGACACCAGCACTGGAACAAACATAAACTTTACAAAATTTAATGATATCGTTATAATTACTAATCCACAGGAATATATGAAAAACGTAAATTGCTTTTATGGAAGAAATATACATGTTGTGACAGAGAATTGCCTGAAAAAGGACATTAAGTCAGAGGATGGATATCAAGCACCAATACGCATTCCAATATTCGCCATTCTTTGGTTTAACAACCAATCAACGTTGACTTTTTTTTACACGTGATCTTAGCTCAGACAGCCGAGAAGCGATTGGTGCGTTTGGTGCAGCAAATTGAGAAGCGTTTAGCACTTACAGTAATGAACAAGACTCGAATTTTTAACATTAATATGATGTCAGTGAATGTATCCTTACGGCTCAGAGACTTAGCGCGCGAGTCACCGAAAGCATTTGCAGAAGGCTGCTTCAGGCATCCATCAGCAGGTACTTTCGATAGCTTGCTAATGAAAACCAGATGGCTGGCCGGAAGAAAAATGAACAATACGAAGGAGACATTCAAGTTACATTACACATCAGATAGAGCGTCCAGAAGAACTTGAATGGGAATTGTAATGTGACACAGACGAGACGATTTTAGAAGGCAATGAAAGTTCTGGGGCAACTGTTGAGCGAGTTAAAGAAAGCAGAGAGCAAAATGGAATTGGGAAACTGAAGACAGTAATAATTATTATTTCTAATCGAAATGTTTCAACACTTGGAGATATACTTCGAAGATAATATGGATGAATAATTACACCAAACAAGGTAAACTGCCAAGGGAAGAAGACGTTGGATTACTTCCCCAAAACCAGTACGGAACATTGAGACATCGAAATAGATTATGAACATGCTTTAAACTTAAAAAATACTAGTTGATATGAATCAATTGTCTACCTAAACAGTACACTCCTTTTATCAGCATGAAGCTACAGGAACTCTAAGATGATTCATATTCTTCCCAAAGCATCGTTTACTAGTCGAGTAATACAATTATACATTTGGTTCATGAAGTAAGATCGCCATTAGAGTACGAACAGCTATACCGTAAAGCATCCAAAAATTTACATAAACATGGAATATATTATACCTATATATATATATATATATATATATATATATATATATATTTGCCCAGACAATACTGGGAAAGTTATTAAGTCTTTTAAAATATGAATTCTTCTGAGTAATTTTTGTGAATACCATAAAAATGTTTATTTTTATGTTGTTTATTTTACTAAGCTTACTGTTATGTTCACATGAAAATATGATGTATTTAGCAGACCACATGATTCGGATTGTGGTAAGAATCTGAAATTACAATTAAATGTTCTTCTTGATTTTTCCACATTAATCAGAACACTTTTTTATTATGCAGCCCACAAAATTACATCACAGGTAAAATACAAACACCTTGTAATATTACGATAAAGATAATTGAAAAATTCGCGATACATTCTATACCAATAATATAGAAAAATAACACAGTCGATATACAAGTCACAAAGAAGGTAAGATCCTAAGAGTAATATTCGAATGTTTGCTCAGTGCTATGATTTAAAAAAATTAGTCCCTTCAATACATTCAATGGAGTTATTAGAATTGGTTACAGGATTTAATCATTAGCTGACATCGGTTACAGAAGCATCGGAAAACCTGAAAGCACTGTACAGCCGTCTCGTCCCGGTGTAGGACTCAGTCTTTACACAATCAACAGGGTACGAACTCACCACCTTCCAGTCACAAGGCGAGCTCGTAGATCATTCAATCACTGGGAGCCAATGCGATGGTCCATAAATTCTAACTTTCCCCAATTCACGATATAGCACGACCACTAGCCGATGTCATCAGTGGTGAGTATTTCTCCCCACCCCCGACGTGATCTACTCCACTTTATCTGAACAATACACAGATAGGGTGGAGTAGCTGAAACTTGCATGTGAGGATGGGTGAACATATACTCGAATTGCCCGGAAAATAAATGAACTATGAAACCTCGATAAACCTTGTTTATAAAAAGCCACAAAATCAATACAAATAATAAGACTGATATCAAAATAGCTTTTAGGGTTATCTACAAAAAACGTCAGGGGCACTTACTGAAACACACAAAGGCAATAGCTATCCGTAAACAAAAGTCTCTCCCTCCCCGTACCCTGTGCTACTCTTAACCTTACTCAGCTGTTCTTATCTGCTTGTCTTACCAATAATAGTAATAACTGTAATTATTTTAACTGGCCCTCCATAATTTTTCATACAAAAAAAATTGACTAAGAAATGAGCGATCAGACTGTTCTAAATGTATGCTCCTAATAGCATTATAGTTTTTAGATGAACTCCGTCTCCTAATAAAGCCATATAAATACTAAGAAATATGCCAGATACATATCCTTTTCCACTGAAAGCAGGCTCATGAACTGTTGACTAAGATACAAACAGAGTTGTTAGTATTCCAAGAAAAATGAACAAATAAACAGCGTTCTCTTTCCAAACGTATCACCGAACACTTACTAACAAAGGAGAAAAACGATTTCCTCGCAGTTCCATCTTAGAACATCTTAGAGAATGTGGACACCAAGCTACACCGCAAACAAACTTCAAAGTCGTCTACACAGTAAGACGTAGTCTTCCTAAAGGTGTATGAATCAGACTTCTTTAAACTCCAGAAGCAATGACGGTTCACTTGCTAAGCCCTGAACTCTGCATACAGAAGAAGTTCATTCAATCATTACACTTGCAATGGACGTAATCTATCTTATTACCCGACAAGTAAATTCTACCTAAACTTTTTTTTCTGTCTCTTCATTATGATTATTTTGTCTTCTCAATTTTAATATTTTACATTTTTGACTTTCTTGTTCTCTACCCCCACCCGATTTAATTTCTACACCTCACTACCACTGTTACTGACTTGACCAACGTTCGATTTCTAGTCATTTATATTACGTCATCCAACTTATTTGCACAATTTCACTCCTACTTCAAATGGCATTATTATCTACACCACTTCTACGTAGTCTCTACCTGTAATTACCTCTGTTGCTATCCTGACCTAAGTTGAAACATTTTAGTAAATTATAATACGTCATCTAACTTACTAACTCAATCTTACTTTAGTTGCTGTCTGACTAACCTTGTTTCTATATTAGATCATTCTTCCATTACCTGATCAATTATCTAAACTTGACAAACCTCATGTACACACACACACAAATAATTATATATAAATGAGATTGTATGTGAATGAAATCGCTGAAAAGAGTCTCTTCGCTGAACGTCTTCTCTTTTTCATATGACTTAAGCTTTTATTTTTCCCTCGACAATCCCAATGTGAGGAAAATTCAAATTTTGATTATTGTGTCTACATGTGCGTTTTTCACGAAATAAAGGCAGCTAAGCATATAGAATTTGGTATCCTCAATCTTTTGTTATTATTATCCTTTCACTTATGTTTGGCGGACTGTACATGTAAAAATGACGTTTTGTGTAGTCATACATTGGTAATCTGGTACAATCCATCTGCTTTATTTGTTTTTGTATATTATAACTTTTGTCGCACATTGCAAATGCATTAGACTGTTCAAGGTTTACACTTTCCAGAAAAGCGTTGGGCACGTCATTTTATATGAACCTCGATATTACAAAAATCTAGTTTACCATTAATTTGATAAACATTTTTACAATGCTGCTGTGTTCTTTCAACTGCAGTGTTTGTAGCCAAGCATGAAAGTTAGTAAAACGATCCAACTCAGGCAACCTACTCCTAATCTACAAATCGCTACTATGTCTGCTATCCACATTTAGTGGTAACAGGTTAGAACACACAGTCGTTTCTTAATACAATCACTTGTGCAGTTATAAAATACGGTGAACTGAACGAAAGATATCAGTTAGGTTGGGAGAATGTTGAAATTCGAAAAAGAGGGAATATCAAAAAAAGTTAGGGATTTTCTAGAAACCTGGGACTCAGATGGATCACCATAGGTCAAATTTACCAGCTAATAAAAAATAACACACATGACGAGAAAATTCAAATTTCAAGTCAGCAGAAATGAACAGTGTAAACTGACAACCAGTCACGGCAATGTTTGTCATGCGGTTACAGCATTTCATCATGAGCTGACATTGGTTAGGGAACCATCGGAAAACCAGTACTTGAACATTAATATGATGCTCACAAGCAATACCCTATTCATTTGGGTGGTTACTTGGGTTCCAGTTATGCCTAGGGCACGTCGAAGGTGAGGAGAAATACTCACCACTGATGACATCGGCTAGTGGTCGTGCTATATCGTGAATTGGGGAAAGTTAGAATTTATGGACCATCGCATTGGCTCCCAGTGATTGAATGATCTACGAGCTCGCCTTGTGACTGGAAGGTGGTGAGTTCGTACCCTGTTGATTGTGTAAAGACTGAG